GCAAAATTTGTATCCTTATCTTCATCTTTTCTCTAATTACCATGGAGATAAACTTTTATGGGTAAATCTGTTGTGGTAACTTGACTCTAGCTTTATACCAAAAAAAAAGAAAAAAAAAAAAAAACTTGACTCTAGCTAAATTTGAAAGAAATCAGGCTTTCTCAGCACTTTGTTTTGTTGGGTTTGATTTTGTTTGCAAAGAAAGAAAAGGAGACTGTGGTAGCTGAATCATTGCAATAATGAAAGAAAAAAAAGATGGCACTCAAATGAGAAATCACCATTCACCAGATGTTTGGTATGCAAATGTTTTGCACAAAATTAGTAACATTATTTCATTCCTAAATTTTCTCCTAATAATTGTTTATCATCTAAGATCTCCTGAGTTCTGAAATGGAAATTAAAAGAAAGAGGCATCTTCTTGTAAGGTTATGGTTACTAATAATTTTGTTAAGGCCACAAATTTTACTTGTAATTTTATTGATTTATAATTTTGTTCTTCAATAGTAAGTTATGATATTTGAAACTCTTTATTTATAAACTAATTTTAATTTGTTAAATAATAAATATTAATTATTTTATCAACTATTGACTATTTTTAACAAAAAATAAATAAAATATTATTAATTCTAATAATCTTAACAAAATTAATGGTTCCATAACCATAACTCTTTTGTTAGTACACCTATCAAAAAAAAAAAAAATGGTGCTAACATTTTCTTTTTCTATTGCATTTTTTTTTCTAAACAATAATATTATATATTCAGTGCACTAAATATATACAATGTATTGAAAGAATAGTGTGAGGAGATTGTATAGTGTAAAGGTAGGTCTTAGGTTACTGATCTCGAACGTACTACATATTTGTTGAGCTCAATCCAAACTTATTGACCTCGGTTACTCGATAATCAAGGTAAGGACTAAATTCAGTCGCACGATGATTATGGTGAGCATGTCCTTAGCCAATCCTCCATCCTTGAGATCGTCACCCTATTGGACACATCAGATTCCGATTATCTCGTTATACAAGTCACGTGGGTGTCTCATTAAGGCCTATAAATATCCTTAAAGGTCACTTCCAAAAAGTAATTGAAACTGACCTAAAGCTTCTTTTATAGTCTTTCTTAAAGGTAGACTTGATTATTGCTGACTTAAGCATCGAAGTGTCTATCTTGAGGAGCAACCTCGAGGCTTTGCAAGTTTATTCGAAGAGAAGACTTGGACGGAGGAGACTCATTGGTTTGTTGCAATTACATTTGGTGCTGTCTATGGGAAGCTGAACTAAAAGCTTTACTGTTGCCCTTTTTCGCATGGTTAATACTTGATCTGCTCATACTAGAAGTCAGGCTCAACCTCTTGGCTAAGGTCAAGGACAAAACATTAATAATTTTCCATTACCCACTTCAAACTTGCTTGCCCCTATGGAACAACATACTGAAAGAGGTGATGAGAACTAGCCTCACAATTCAGCTCTCCTTCCCAACCAAGGTGATGTAGTAGCAGTTCGGCTTGTAGCAGTGCAACAACAATTTGGTGTTTACCAGCTGGTTTTGGCTCAGCTTTTAGCCAAAAATAACCTAGAGACCCTCTCATTAATTTGCTAAATCCAACCCAACAACCCCCAATTAAACAATAAGAGCCACATCATCCTCACTTCAATGATAATAGAGCTACCCCAGCCAATAGTGAATCACAAGGCTAGTGTCATGTGGTTCCACCTCAACCACCTCTGCGAGATGATGTTACTAGACGGTTGGATAGTTTGGAAAGGATGGTAGCTGAACACCGAGGTGCTCCACCTCCCCAGAACAATACTAATTCAATGCCTCATCCATTGAACACCAACATAACCTTATAACCTTATCCCGTTGGTTTCAAGATGTCTCAATTCAAAACATACGATGGAACCAATGATCCAGACAATCACTTACATGCCTTCTATTCTTGCATGCAGGCTCAGAATGCCTCAGACACTTTGATGTGCAAAATATTTCTTACTACTCTCCTAGGTAATGTTCGAACATGATACTATAGTTTACCTCTAAGACCTATCAATTCTTACACAGAGATGGCAACAACCTTTCCTACAAAATTTTCTAGTATAAAGCTAATTAAGAAAACTACACCCGAGCTCATGAGGGTTATACAGAGAGGGGGAATTTTTGAAAAATTATATGAACAGGTTCAATGATGTAATTCTTGAGATCAGTTCCTTTGGTTAGGCTATTAGGATCGCCATAATAATTCAAGGCCTTAATCGTGAAAGGTTTCGAGATAACTTGATTAAACATCCTCTTACAACTTTTGATGAAGTTAATGACAAATCTAGGAAGTTCATAACAGTTGCAAAGTACACCTTGTCACAGAAGCCAACCATAATTAAAAACCAAAATCCAACTTAGAGAGAAGAAGAGCATAATAGGAAACGAATGAAGGCAGTTCAGAATCGAGGTCCAATCTCAACTTCTACGCCAAGGTTTTGGAAGTCGAAGTCAACAGCTCTCCAACAACCTCCCAGAAAGCCATCAATTACATGACCTTCTTTCAATCTACCAAGGTCATAGATACTAATGAAAATCAAGAATAAGATGGAACTAAAGAGACCAACCCCAATGAGGAGCTCCACTATTACACGAGATCATATTAGATATTATGACTTCCATCAAGACCATGCCCACATGACTGAAGAAAGCAATAACCTAAAATCTAAGTTGGAAGATCTAACCCCAATAGGAACGTTGAGTGAATACATCCAGAAGGCAGATCAACCTAGATTCATTAGAGTACAAGGACCACAACCACAAGGATCCCATAATGCAAACAACAAAGAGGGAGTTGGGTATCAACAAGCTCCACCACCCCTTCCTTTTCCAGCCAAAATTATTCACCTGATAATGGATGGACTTGAAGTAGGAGGTTTGAGTTCCAAGCAACGAAAATTGTATGTCAGAGAAGTCAAGCACCAAAGCCGAGCTCAGAAGAGGAACTTTGACGATGTAAAATGGAAGAACCAGCCTATAACTTTCATATCTGCTGACTTTGAAGGGGTTGTAACACCACACAATGATCCATTGGTCACTTCCATCATGATTAACAATTGTGAAGTACAACATGTCCTTGTTGACACTGGTAATGAACCTCACATAATGAACTATCATTGTGTTGAGAGCTTAGGCCTTGATCCAACTTTTTTGTAGAAGTACGATGGCCCTATCTACCGGTTCAACAACTAGCCGATCCTAGTTGAGGGAGTTCTTACTCTTAATGTGGCATTTGGGTAAGGCCGAACTTATGTCACCCCTTCGATTCAATTCTTAATTGTTAAAATGACATCTTTCTTCAATGTTGTTATTGGTTGACCTACTACACTAATAGAGACCCGCGTTATAGTCTCCCAATCTCATCTATGTATGACGTTCCCCACACCTATGGGAATTGCAACTTTGAAAGGTAATCAAGAAATAGATAGACATTGTTTCATTACCTTAGTTACATTACCTTAGTCACATGACCTTAGAAGGAAACCAGTCAAACATTAGAGGTTGCTCAATAAAAAGCTTTAAGTGGGAAACAATAGATAAGAGTAGAGTTATTTGATAATCACCTGAAGATGAAACTTGAGCTGCTCTAGTCGACGATGTAGAGGAAATACAGATAGATGATAGAGATCCAGCTAGGAAAACTCAGATCGGAACTCGCCTAAGCCAAATTCACAAAGCAAAGTTGATAGCTTTCTCTGAGCTAACAAAGATGTTTTGGTGTGGACCTCAACTGATATGCCAAGGGCTCCAACCTCAGTGTCTATGCACAAGCTCAGCACCAATCCCTTGAAAAAGCCAGTTGCACAGAATCGACGTCTCTTTGGGGGAGAGAGGCTTAAGGTGATTAAGGAGGAGGTAGAGAAACTCTTACGAGCTAGCTTTAAAACAGGGGTTGATTATTGTGAATGGGTTGCCAACCTTGTTTTACTCAAAAAGGGTAATGGTAAATGGAGGATGTGCATCAACTACACTGATCTCAACTAGGCCTGTCTTAAGGACTGCTACCCAATGCCAAGTATTGATAAGTTGGTTAAGGCAGCATCTAGGCATGAGATATTAAGTCTCTTAGATGCATACTCAGGCTATCATCAAGTCTTGATGGTCCAAGAAGATGAGAAAAAAAAACTTCCTTCTATGTTGGTGATGAAATCCACTGTTACGTCATGATGCCTTTTAGTTTAAAAAATGCAAGTGTTACCTACCAAAAGATGGTGACCATCATGTTTAAAGCTTAGATTGGTAGAAAGTTAGAAGTTTGTGTTGATGATATTGTGGTAAAGAGCCTAAGAGTTGAGGACCACCTAACTGATCTCGATGAAACTTTCAATAACCTAAGAAAGAACAAGATGAAGTTGAATCTTGTAAAATGTATCTTCGGTGTGGAGTCTGAAAAATTTTTGGGTTTCATGGTTTCTAGGAAGAGGATAGAGGTCTAACCCAAGAAAATTAAAGCAATAAAAGAGATGGAATCTCCCAAGTCTATTAAAGATGTGCAGAGGTTAACTGGGAGAATGGCAACCCTTCACAGGTTTATCTCCATATTAACAGATATGTGCCTCCCATGTTTTAAGATCACAAGATCAACAACTCAATAAGATGAATTAGGCAAGTTAAAGAAGTTTGAACGGACACCAAAATGCCAAGTCGCACTTGAGGAGCTTAAGTCTTACCTTAGCTCCCCCATCGATTGTTAACCTAAGCTGTTGATGGTGAGATTCTTTATTTGTATCTCAGGATCTCAGATGAGGCAATAAGTTTGATATTAGTAAAGGAAGAAGGAAAGTAGTAGAAGCTAGTCTATTATACGATCAAGGTATTATATGGGGTAAAGTAGAGGTATTCAATTATTGAAAAAGCAGCTATTGCGATCGTTACCTTAACTAAGAAAAAAAGACTATATTTTCAATCATATTCAATAGTTGTCCTTACAAATTAACTTTTTCGGCAAATTTGGCATAAACTAAAGTGTTTGAGCAGATTAATCAAATGGGTAATTCAGTTGGGAGAAGTTGAAATAACATTTTAACAGAGATTAGTAATCCAAGCTTAAGTATTGGCAGATTTTGTTGTTGAATGCATTTCTAATCTATCTAGTCCTAATCTCGAGCCAGATACATGGGTTTTATATGTTGATGGGACATCAAATAATAAAGGGTCAAGAGTTGAAATAGTTCTGGTGGGCCCAAATGGATACCAAAGTAAGCAGTGAGCATGCATTAAAGCTTAACTTTCATGCAACCAACAATATGGCCGAATATGAAGCCTTGTTACTTGGTCTCTAGTTGGCATTAGAGCTTAAGGTCAGAATGATTCAAATCTACAGTGATTCTCAACTTGTGGTCAAGCAGGTCACCTCAGTTTGTGAGGTAGTAGAACCACTTTAATGAAGTATGTGAATCTAGTGTCTGAGCTCAAGTGCACATTTGAAAAATTTTGCCTCAACAAAGTATCTAGATATGAGAATGAACAAGCGAATGCACAAGCAAATTCACTTTCAAAGTTTGCCTCTGACAGTTCTAGAGTTACTAGGTCAGTTTATGTTGAGGTTCTCAATGAACCTAGTTTTCAAAAGTCAAAGGTGATGGAGATCAGTGTAGACCCAAACACATTGAGTTGGATGGAGCCAATTAAGTCTTTCTTACAGGATGAATAAGTTTCTGAGGATAAACAAGAGGAAATGAGATTGAGGTGGAAAGCATCTCCGTATGCTTTAATTGACGGAGTCTTTTACAAAAGGTCTTTCTCGCTACTTTTGCTCCGTTATCTAACTCCTTATGAAACTGAATATGCACTTCGGGAGGCGTATGAAGGTGTTTGTGGAAAGTATATTGGTGCGAGAACCCTAGCACACAATTCTCATGCAAAGATACTATTGGCCTAATATGCAGAAGGATGCCAAAGAAATTGTGCAAAGGTGACTAAAATACCAATTCTTGACACATTTGACTTACCAACCAACAGAAAAGCTCACAAACTTAGTAGCACCCTGGCCCTTTGCTCAATGGGGACTCAAACTTTTTGGTCCATTTGTGAAAGGGGTTGGAGGAGTAACACACCTAGTAGTTGATGTCGATTATTTCACAAAATGGGTTGAAACTCAACCATTATCCAATCTTACCTCCAAGAAAATTGAAGACTTGTCTTTAGTTCAATCATTGGTAGATATAGGATTCCAAATCAAATCATTGTCAACAATGGAACATAGTTCAATTGGGCTTCATTCAAGGACTTTTGTTCTAGTTGTGGAATAAAGTTACAATTTATTGTGGTGTACCATTCACAGTCCAATGGAGTGGTGGAGTCAATCAATAAAGCTATTTTGGAAGGAATAAAACCAAGTTGGAGCAAGATAAGGCTAGATGGACAAACGAGCTTAACAATGTGCTTTGAGCATATAAAACCACCACCCGAACTACTATAGGTACCATATTCTAACCTGATCTACTTGCACTACTAGAACAAGGCACAAATTTGGTCAAGAAGACTGACTCAAAAAGACAGGATATTGACTGAAAATCAACTACTTCAGTCAAGACACTTGACCGAATTGTTGGACCGAATATGCTCTTTACGAAATAGAATTTTGGAGAGAATTTTGACTTGACCGAAATAAAAATCTATTCGGTTAAGATGTTTGAATGAAAAAATGGTTGAAAAAATCAATAAAAAGCACTTATATTCGGTCAAAATACTTCACTAAAATATTTATCAATCAATTAATTAATATAATTATTATTTTTAATCAACATAATCAAAATTTTATAATCAATTAATTGATTTAACTAATTCATCAATGTAATTAATCATATAGCTTACTTAACAATTAAATATGTAATTATGATTTACTAATCAATCAACTATAAAAATTATAATTAATTTTAATTTTAAATAAATTAATCAATTTAATTAATTAGTGTACTTATCAATTAAATATTATAATTATAATTTCTCATTCAATTAAAGAATATAATCACAATTTATTAATTACCCATTATACTTATAATTTATCGATTAATTAAAGAATATAATCATAATTTATTGATAAAGCAGTTAGTCACTATAATTATAATCTAAATCTGCAAAATTTGCTCTACAAATGTACTATGCATGTTTTGGTCAGCATGTTACCGACAGAATGCTAGAAATCAGCGAAATCTACTTTGCAGATTTACCATGCATGACAGAAACATGCAGGGAATCTGTAGAGAGTAGATTCCCATGCTTGTTTCTGCAGATTTTGCATATTTCCAACATTGTTTCGATCAGCCATGTTGATTGAAACATCCAGGATATCTAGAGAAACAAGCATGTGAATTATTGCAAATTCAGAACCGTGACAGAGTTTTAGTTTGATCAATAATTTTGATCAAATCAATAATATTTTAACTTATTTATTAATATTTAATACAAAAATAAGCGTGAATTTTTTTCTTTTTCTTATTCGGTCAATGTGCTTGATCGAATAAATGGCTAAGCAACATTCAATCACGAACTTGACCGATTGGTTTTGGAGCCAAATTAATTCAGTCAAGTGTCTTGATTGAAATAAAATGAGACCTAATTGTATGCCTTTTCCCATTTGTTTCGGTCAAACTTGATTTTCGATCATTAAATTTGGCCAAAATAATAGTTTTATCAGTCAAAAAAATTGCTTGACCAAAATGGTCAACTTTCTAGTAGTGTTTCATACTCCTTTATTATATTTCTTGTTGCTTCATTCCTAGTTAAAACAAATAAAGCATGTAAAGCATATGCTAAAACAATAATTTAATAAAATAAGTGAGACACCATATCACCTGACCTTTAGCACCAAAGCAATCATTCTTATTAAAATAGAAGTCTCAAGCTTCAGGGTCACCCATTTCGATGGTGGACAAAATGGACAATTGCCTCGAGAAAATCTTGATTTGCTTACCGAAGTCAGAGATGAAGCTTGACTTCAAACCTTGTCATACAAGCAGAGGTTAGCCAACTTCTACAACAAACAAGTTTGTTCCCGAGTAGTCAAAGTTGGTGACCTTGTTTTTAGGAATGCTGGTCTCATAGGGTTTGAAACTCATTTTGGCAAGTTAGCCCCAAAGTGGGAAGGCCTTTATATCGTGGTCGAAGTACCACATCCAAGTGCTTATAGTCTCCAAGATGTGGAGGGAAAAAGGATTCCTAAAGTTTGAAATGTCAACAATTTAAAGAAATTTTATTCTTAAGCCACTAATTGTTTAATTCAATCACTTAGGTGGATTTCCTCCAATTTTACTTTACATTTTTTGATTTCTATGTTCGAGATGGGTTCATTATTTTGTTTGACTCTTGAAATCATGTTCCATTAATATGAATTCCACCTCATATTTGAGGTGATTCCAAATTTTATTTCAATCTTTATCTTAACCAATTATGAAATGTAATAACTAAACAAAACAAATTAAAAATGTATCAATATCAATGCTATAAATGTTTAAAAATTAGATCAATATTTGAAACAAATTGTTCAAACATTAAAACAAAGTAAAAGATCACTAAATGAAGTCAGCTACTCTGTTGGCAGAGGTTGCTAGTCCACTTCTTGCCTTGGTTCATTCTTTGACCTCCGCACCTCCATTTATATCTGGCTCCTCTTCCTTCACCACGACAAACTTGAAGTCAAAGTTTGGAGGAAAAATGGTGCGACCTTCGCTATCATGGTCCCACTTCAACTTGTCCTTGAGACCAAAGTCAACTGTTCCACTTTCACCATTTTCCTCCATTCCTCCTTGATCTTTGAAGGTAAGTGTCGTCACATCTAGCTAGGGGTGCTGCGCCTCCACCTTTTCCTATAGTCTGCAATGCAAGGATGGCAATAGGTAGCCAGTAGAGACTAGAGATGCTGTTGAAGGTATTTGACCTCAAAAACTCAGCAATATGCTTCTCCATCGAGTTGTGGACCTATAACCCCACATTCCTCTCAAACTCCAAACCAACCTTCTTTATTTCAGAGATCTCTCTACTTTGATCTCATATCTTATTCTCACATATCTCTCTCTTCTTTTCTTCAAATTTGAAAGTTGTCTTCAACACTTCAGTTTCTCTTTAAAGCCGCTTAACTTCCCAAGGCAATTCCTCCACTTTTTTCTTAAACTCCTCTTTCCACCTCCCAAGCTCCTCATTCTCCTTTTTCAACTTATTTCGATCCTTAAGGCTCTCAAAAAATTCATTTGATAGCATGTTCACCAAGTTAGCAGCTTGCAATCATCTTCATCATTAAAAAAAATGAAAATGAAACAATGATGTACTGTTGGCCATACCTCAAGGACATAACGTACAACACCAACCCCACTATGAGTCAGCACCTCATCCCTCGCTCAGGGTCAATCCACTTCGGGAAAGGTTGCGTTTGTGAACCTCATAGCGACCGATTTGCTTTTGGATTCATAAAACTAGATTGTTGCGAATGAAAGGAAGAGACCTTTTCCCTTCTTGTGGGTTGTTACCCCAACTTCCCTGAATTTGGGTCGAGCTCAACAATGGGAGGACGAGGAACGAACGCTACCACCTCAACGTTTCCTCTGAAGACATGTCTTCTATTTCATAACTTTCGCTGCATTGAGTAAAAGGTGGGATGTAGTTAGGATCTTCAATAACTTCTAACTCATATTCTATGTCACTTTCACTTCTAAACCTAACCTCTTTAAGAGGACTTAGATTTAAGTCAGAAAGGGTGAGAGAAGAATAAAACTCTTCACTAGTATCAGAAGTAGAATAATTCATTTAAGTTGCCTAATCTTGGTAGTTTTAAACTTAATAATGAATCTAAAAGTATAGTAGGTAAAAGTTTGGTAGTTATACTAGCTCTGTTGCAAGTTTGACAATACTTCGGTAGTAAACACAACAAAGTAACAAAAATTTACGTAAGTACGACTATATATACTAGTACAAGTATTGGCCTCAACTGCCATAATTAATTCCATTTGACGGTTATAATTACACCATTTTAAATTTGAAGCTTCATTTCTAATTACACCTTTTTGAATTCGATGGTTAGTTCTGATTACACCCTTAGGACTATGACAATTACCTTTTACAACACATATGTATTACCATACATCCTTTAAGGATAGTTGTCGTATGGCATATTAACTCCTCTTCAGCATTATTATGTGGGCCCAATCAGGCCTAGCCCAAGTCTTTCTAGTTACCCCAATATATCTCATAACATTGCAAGTCTTTTACCTCTAATTTTTGATTCATCCATTCTTACTTCGGTTACGACCATAGTAACATGACTACATGTCATGCATTTTTACTTTGGCTGCATTCATAATAACGTGACCACATGTCATACATTTTTACTTTAATTATGGCCATAATAACATGACTACATGACTCAATAACATAACTACATGACTCAATGTCATGCATTTTTACTTCGGCTACAACCATAATAACATGACTACATGTCATCTCTTTTTATTTAGGCTATGACCATAATAACATGACTAGGAGTTATGCATTTTGCTTCGGCTTCAGCCAAAATAATATGACGTTACGCCACACATTCGTCCACCACTTGAATACTTGTTCTGCACGACCAGGTAGTTATATATACATTAAATTGTCCCCTTTTACCTCTCAACTCAATCATTCACAAGCGAATGACTGAGGAGGGGGAATAGGGTAAAGATAGGTCTTAGATTACTGATCTCGGATGTACTGCATATTTGTGGAGTTTAATCCAAACTTGTTGACCTTGGTTACTCGATAACCGATGTAAGGTCTAAATTCAATTGCACAATGATTATGGTGAGCATGGCCTCACCCAATCCTCCATCCCTCAAATTGTCGCCATATTGGACACGTCAAATTCTGATTATGTCGTTAAGCAAGCCACGTGAGTGTCTCATTAAGGCTTATAAATACACTCAAGGGTCACCTCCAAAAGGTAATTGAAACCGAACTAAAGCTTCTTTTATAGTCTTTTTTAAAGGTAGACTCAATTATTGTTGACCTAAGTATCAAAGTGTCTACCTTGAGGAACAATCTAGAGGCTTTGCAAGTCTATTCAAAGAGAAGACTTGGATTGGAGGAGACTAACTAGTTCGTTGCAATTACAGAGATGAAATTTTATTATAAAACTTAAACTATTTAAGTTACGTCCAATAAGTAAATACATAAAATATCATACTTTTATTAGAATTACAAGATTTAATAAAAATTATGTCACATCATTTTTTAAGATTAATTATTCAATAATATTCTAAAAAAAACATTTTCCAATATCCTATACTATAAAATCGATCAACAGAGTTTAAAAATTAGTAATAAAGTTGAAAATCCATTATCACAAGTCCAAAAGTTAGGGAAAATGAAGCATAGTATGGTAATAACTAATCCTACCTAGCATCCGTCATGATTTTATAATGATCTAATACCACAATAAATACTTTGGGAAGCCTCAAGAACCTGACGCTTTTTTTTTAATGAATATGTGCAGTCTTTATTGACATCAACAAGAGAATGGACATACAAATTATGCAATAAGTTTGTCTTCTATTATAAGGTGCGTTATAGGAATTGGAACATCCGTTATCCAAAACTCGTCTTCCTTAGCTTTGAGAGCCCATTTTATAAGCTCATGGGCAACTACATTATCATTGCGGCATACTTGATTTACTTGATTCGAGAGAAAGGTGGCCATCATCATTTTATAGTCTAAGAGAATGGTTTTTGTTTGGGTAGCTTCACATACGGCTGTTGAGACCGCAAATTGCTCCAACACTTAAAAAATATGAGGATGTTTCCTTGAGGTAGACACTCTAATACTCAATTAACAATACTTTATCATGTAGAGAGAAAAGCTCTCAAGAAGAGTTATTGTAGAGAGAGGAGTATAGTGGAGCTATTACCGTATGTGCAAATAATTAGGGGTATTTATAAACCTCCATCTAAAATAGTACTATCACGTCTCACAGCTCTATTGGCACACCTGTCCTTAGTCATATGGGTGCGTCATGATTGTTGTGTCTACACTTTAGGCTTTATACGATCTTTTAGTCTTAATTATTGATGTTGGGCCTATTCTCTCAACAGATCCTAAACTTGAGTTCAAGTTGAAATTCTCATTGTTGATTGCTATCACTAGGATGCACAATCTGATTCCATAACAATCCTCTTAAATGTAAGATCTTAAGCCCATTCGTAAGGCCTTCTGAGTACTATATGCCTTTAACACCTTAGCCTCTACTACACCTTGTTCCTTACCTACCATTGTTGCGAACACCTCATCCTAATGGTCCCTTGCAACTGCCCCCATTCTAAGCACGTAATTTTGGGAGGAGATTGCCCCATTCACATTAGTCTTAATTAAGCTTTCACTTGGTGGCTACCACCTGGTTTCACTCCTCCTTTGGGTGACAACAACTCCTTTACCTTTTGATAGTTATAGGTGTGAATATTTTCTAATAAAGCTCATGCTTCACTTGATGATTTGTTAAAGATTAGGACATTTACCATTCCACACAGCATCATTTCTTCAAGTCCAAATTTGTCACCATAAAACACTTAAGAGATCAAGTCATTCCTTACCTAGTAGCCTTGACATATTATCAAAGAAAAAGCAAAGCTATCAACTTGAAACTCAAACATTTAGAGGTTTAAAAGGGAACCCAACCATATAGCTCTAGGCACTAAGATAAGAAACAATAAAACATATTGTGCTACGGGCTCAATACAAGACTTGCATCCAACTTAAAATCAATTGGTAATAAATCAAGTAACCCTCCTTATATATTATATACTCGATGTGAGATTTCCCACTTAACATGCCCTTTAATGTGTAGGCTCACTATGAAGATCGGGTTCTATTATGTGGTCTAATACGCCCCCTTACATGGAAGCCCAATCTCAACTTTGGGTTTGTTAAGTAGGCTAACAACAGCTTCCTAGGATAGAATTTGGTCTTTAATACCATATGAAAATTGTGTATGTGAGCTCAATATAAGACTTGCATCCAACCTAAAACCAATTGGCAATAGGTGGAACCCTTCTTGTATTTAATTCATAAGCTTCTTCATTATATACTTGAAGTAGGATTTTCTCGCTAAACACACCCCTTCACATGCAAGCCTATTATGAATGTTAGTTCTTGTCATATGGCTTAATAAAACACTCCAAATCAACATCTTTATGTTTGCAATTCAGGTTGTCCTTTATGGGTAGTATATTATGATAGTCACTTTAAATTAATAGGCGTATCTTTTTTGGGACACTAAGAGACCACATTGGATTTCCTCTAAAAAGAAACTAGGAACCTGCGAGCCTAACTTGGGTATTGCATATAGCCATGGCTCTATGATAGCTTGATTGAATTTTGTAATTACCATGTTTGGTCTAACTCCACATACAATAATCCTCTCGATGTATCCAACTCAAAGGCAAAGATAGGATCAATTGAGCTTCATGGCCATTAAAGGTATCCAATACTAAATTTGTTGTTCACATAGAAGAATTTGCATCCATGAGTTCACTAACGTATTAGAGATCACAACCAATAGGGCGAGCGTTTGAACAAGAAATTGAGAGTTCCTAGGGGGCCTTATGTCATCCCATATCTATATGTTATGCCTATCACTATTATCCACGTTGTCAAAGGACTTAATTTTTCTTATGTATCTTAGGAGAAAAAATTAATGACTCTAGAAAGTTCAAATTTTAAGTTATTTTATACCTTAACATTTACTAAAGGAAACTAAACTCCTCATCTTCTATAATAACATGATACAAATCTTTCTTAAGCTCATTGTTTCCTAAAAATCCTTCCCACGACATCAAATACTCAATCATAATTTTGGAAATTTATCTCCAATCAAACTAAAGCCCACTCCATTAAGGTAAAATCTTCCCTTTTAAAAAGCAAATTAATTTTGGATCTCTCAATCCTTAAAATGTATAACCTGCTTTTACAAAACTCTTGCAAACTAAACAACAAATCATCCCTAAGAATTCAACTACAATGGGATCTTTTATTAAGAATTTTGTAGTCATAAACATTGCCTCCCATCACCCTAGTGCCACCACCCCCACATGAACCATAACTGCTGCACTAAGCCATCCCTTCAAACTAACAATCTGAGCACCAACCAAAGAGTACCTTATCCCCCTTGTCACGTTTGCCATTATAGCCCAACCTTTAAGGCCAACAAAACTCCCTCTTATTGGCATTAACTTTTCTAACATCAAATTACTAATCCTATCTACCCTTGTTGCCAATTGAGAGCTCAACACCATCCCACTAGTAACCTCACACCCTTTTAAAGCTTCCATTGAAAACCACAACACTTTACAAGCTTACCCTAATCCAACAAGAGCATGCCATTAGCCTCCCCCAGGGAAGGTAGCCACCCCAAAAATCCTTGCCATGTAACCTTAGAGCTTTTTTGCCACCACTGCCCAACCATTGCCAACCTCCTATGCTCCTCAATCAACCTTTAACTAATACAACTTTGCACCTTGCACCATCACATTGCCACCATGGACCCACAAAACTTATAACCCTAAATGTGTCATTGAGCCAAAGCAAACTTCCATGGAGAGTTGCATCATCAAGCCAAGCGTAACAACAACAACAACAAAAAAAAAAAAAAAGAAGGAAAAACAACCAAAATCCCCGGGAAAATTTCCTCTTAAAAAGGGAGAGATGCCTCCTAAAATCCTAGGAGAATACATCATTAATTTTTTTTTTTATTTTAACCTAAATTCTAAGTAAAAAAATAATAGTTATTTTAAGATGGAAGGAGAAAATTTTTTTTCTGAAAGACTAGAAAAAATACATATAGAGGCATAGAGTTTCTATTTTGTGGTTCGATACTAAATTGCAAAACTACATGATACTTTCTTTTTAAAGTTAAATATATGATAAACACAAACTAAAAATCTATTGTCACAATCTTATCTTGAGTTATAAAAATCAAAATTCTTTGATTATATATATTTTTATATTACCAAATCCTTTGATTATAAATATTAGAATATATAGAAAAATAATAAGTTGAAATTAATCTTATGAATAAAATAATTTCAATTTGATTCAATCGCACATGGTGGAAAGTAAAGTAAAATAGAAGAGGGATATATATATAATTAAAATAAAAATTAAAGTAGAATAGGTCTTCTTGTTACGCCCACGCCATTTCAGTTGTCAAACACAGTCAGTACCGGTGCGGTGGGTAAAGTTTACCAGAAGGAGGAGGAGAAGTAGGGGCTGGAGTTAGAGCCAGGGCTAGGGCATTCCCCTTCTTCCCTTTGAACTCCGCCTTGACTTCCATGCTCGCCGTTGCCATCACCGGCCGTACCGGAACCCACTGATTTGGCGGCGGGTTCTGGTCTGCAATGGCCTCCAAAGCTGCTCCCTCCCTCATTGACATCGCTGCTCGCGCTCTCCTTGCTTCTATTTTCTACACTAGTAGTTGAAATTTTTGATCAATCGACAACATTTGTAGAGATTTGTAGGAAAATCTCTAGATGAGAGCTCTTCGGCGGAGTCATACTTCGTCGCCGTCGTCGCCGTCGCAGAACTCGCCATCATCGTCGTCTTCTTCATCGTCTTCGTCGTCGTCGTGGAATCATTTGCGGTCGGTTTTATTTGTTGCTACTTCTTCACCAGCTACCTCTTCATCATCCTCTGATCGAAGGTGAGTCCTATCTCTCTGTTTCTATTTCCTTAACTTAGTTATCTTTATTGATTTCGATTCAGATCTCGATCTCCATTGGTATCATGTTTTAGTGCCAATTTTCACTTCAATTCACGTGTTCTTTTTAGTTTCATTCTATAATTTTTTCTTGCAAGTACTTTGCTTACATTATGATCGTTACCGTCGTAGAGTTAGTAATCCGGTAGTCAATTTTCCTGATAAAGTTCTTTTCTTTTTTATAAAATCTTGTTCCACTTGGGTTTCATCTACCAAGCTTGGATTTCAGTTATTGAAGTAGTTGAATTGGATGTTCTGGTAATCATATTTGCATATTTGTGTTTCTTTTATTTTCAATGTGTTTGTTGGATCTGTGTCAAATATAAGAGCTTAAAAACTTGATTGGATTCATTTCTTCTCTTTTTTCCTCATACTCTTCAATTCTCATGGTGGTTTTAATTTTCTTCCGTAGATGGATGTCATTTAAGCCCTTTTTAGAACTCAAATTTATTACAAACACTAAAAGGACAAGTTTTTCGGAACTTGTATTGCTAAATTGGAAACTTGAGGCATAATCGGTAGTATTTGTCTGCCTGATATGGCCTGGCTTCAAACTAATAAATGCCAATATCTAGTGACAAGTTGCCAGGAAATGATAACCAGTTTAATGCGCAAGCTTATTTGATTCAAACAAGTAAATAGATGATGTGAAATTCCATGTTTAAGCCATGTTCAAGCCTTCCTAGGATATGAAGCAACATGCAAGTAGGGTGCAAAACTACTGTTCATGATAACCAAATTGCAAGATTTCCCATTTGTGATTAAATTGATGATTTTTTCTTGAAAATATTGAAATGGAACTCCTTAAAGACTATAATTTATTTTCTTCATTGTTTCAGACCTTGTGTCCTTAAGGTTATCTATGCTTTTTTTTTTTTTTTTAATAAAGCATACACACATGTATATGCTATAGGCTTTTCCCACTTGATATAATTTGACCACAGATATCACATCACTGATACTAAATCTGTTCCAAAGTTGATATTGTGGCACATGAAATGTGTTTTCATTTTTCAAAACAGCCTCTTCTTCCATGCATACTTTTCAGTACATTTTGTTTTGGGGATATAAGTTTTACCATTTTGATTTTGCAGTGGTCGTCTCAGATCTCCTTGGTCTCGCCGAAGAAGGAAATGTGTTCTTTCGGCTCAACAATGGAGAAGTCTATTTACATCTGATGGTAGACTCCAAGATGGTGGAGTCAAGTTTTTGAAAAGAGTTCGAAGTAGGGTGAGTTATCAATTAATCTGTTCATAATCTTTTTTTATTATAGAACAAAGCATTTAACCTCTTGTGCTCGGATCTAGGGTGTGGATCCAAGTATTAGAGCAGAAGTCTGGCCATTCCTCCTTCGAGTGTAAGTGAATTCAACCCAGTTTTGAGACTGCTGTTTTATTGCTGCTTCTTTCCATTTCTGGGACTATATTTATTGTTGTAATTCTGATACTGAACTTTTATGGGATCTTAAATCCTAAAGCATTTTATTCAAAATTTTTGGTCCTTTGACATACTTAAGAAAGAATTTCTACATTCCTCCCCACCCAAGCCAAGTAATTGTGAATTGGTTCTGGATTTGCTGCAAAGAAATAGATCTCAAGTGCATGCAAGAAATATGTTAAATCTTAGATTCCATATCCTCATTAATGTCTTTCTTTTTTTTGTTTCTCCCCCCTTTTCACAGCTATGATCTTAACAGTTCGAAAGAAGAAAGAGATGTGATTAAAACCCAGAATAGGTAATCCTAATATGTCTGTCCAAAGTTTCAATCTGTGGTTTCAATTAGCCCCATGGCTTATTGCTCCCTTGATGACCTCTTTAGTCTATTGCTTTGTAAATTTTTATGCAATCTATGGATGCAGAAAGGAATATGAGAAGCTCCGTAGAGTGTGCCAGCAATTCCCAAAACACGGTACTAGGAGTTTTAAGTTAAATGAAATTGATAGAGCCTGCCAAAATGACTGTGGAAGTATCGTTCAGGAGGGAGACTTATCTAGCTCTGAGGATGTAGCTAGTGCACAAGAATCTCTTTCTTGTGAGGAAAGGAGCCCAGATGCCAAGTACTTAGATGAACCCTCCAGTGCATTGCTAGAAGGAGATGATGGTTCAAGAAGCATAACTAATGCCAATGCAACAGCACTAAACAGTGAGTCATCTGACTCAGACTCCTTGGAGGACCCTGAAGTAATGCAGGGTTCCCTTTCACCAGAAGGCAGGGAGGAGAATGATCCTGACACGGATCCTGAAGAAAATGTTTATCCTTCAAGCACTGAAGCCCAGTCAAAACTACATGTAACAGAAGATTTTTCAACCTGGCAACGGATCATCCACCTTGATGCTTTACGTGCCAGTGCCGATTGGGTATCATATTCTCCTTCTCAGGCTGTTATATCAGATGCTAGGGCACAGCGTTTGGCTGAGGCAGTTGGGCTTAAGGGTTATGATCATCTGGAGCCTTACCGAATTATGCATGCTGCACGGCTAGTTGCTATTCTAGAAGCCTATGCACTTTATGACCCTGAAATTGGCTACTGCCAGGGCATGAGTGATCTACTCTCTCCTATAATTACAGTCATTGCTGAGGATCATGAGGCTTTCTGGTGTTTTGTGGGCTTTATGAAGAAGGCCAGACATAATTTTAGGCTTGATGAGGTGGGGATCAGAAGACAACTGAATATAGTGTCCAAGATAATCAAATGCAAGGACTCTCATCTTTATAGACACCTAGAGAAGCTCCAGGCTGAGGATTGCTTTTTTGTTTATAGGATGGTGGTGGTACTATTCAGGAGGGAATTGACATTTGAACAGACAATATCCCTCTGGGAGGTGATGTGGGCAGATCAGGCAGCCATCAGGGCTGGGATCGGGAAGTCTGCATGGAGCAGGATAAGGCAGCGAGCCCCACCTACAGATGATTTATTGCTCTATGCTATTGCAGCTTCGGTATTGCAGAGGAGGAAGTTGATCATAGAGAAGTATAGCAGCATGGATGAGATTTTAAGAGAGTGCAACAGTATGGCAGGGCATCTTGATGTATGGAGACTTTTAGATGATGCACATAACTTGGTAGTCACTCTCCATGACAAGATCGAGTCATCCTTCTAACAAATCGCTTGAATTTAGTCCACAATTTACAGGTTCAGTCCTTCAACGTTGCTGTTCTGAGTATTGCAAGTCTCATTTTTTCTATGCACTGCTTGAAATGGTACCATTGCCGAGATGGATTGCTTAGCTTCCTGCTGCCCACTACCAAGAAAAGGTGGGTTTGGCAATCTATGTTTATATCTGCATTATGTTGCCCTATTTAGCATAGGGGAATAGGATGGATATGATTTATCCATGGTCACTTATAAACCCATATTACCCATCAATTTATCATTGTTCTATGAGAAAACTGAGATTGGTCAAGAAGTCCCAGTATCATCTTGTCCCTTTTCCCATATTCTTTTCACCTGTCATTTATTGTCTTTAAAGAAAGGAGAAAAAGGAAGGGAAAATTGAACTTTATTTTTCCTTTAGTACATCTTATTGTCAGCTATTTAAGAGGGGGATGGTGCTGCTCTGCTTCCATGGTTCAGACTTCTGTTATCATTAAGTTTGGGTATGAGATTTCAAAACCAGGATTCTTTTCTTCATAGTACTGCAATGAAGGGTGGATGCAATTTTTAGGGGTGTTTCGATTAGGAGGTAAGATGCAGACGATAGCCGACATTCGAAAATAGATTATCGGACTATTGTTTACAATTCAAAGTATTTAATATGTTCCATCAATGCAAATGAAAGAGGTTCAATATATTATATTTTAATAAAAGGAATCAAATTTAAAAAAGTATATAACTTTTAAGTTAATTGAATAAAAAATAGAAATAATTGTTTTGTAATTTATCTTGGACGGTATATTTTATAATGTTTAATGCAGGGAGACCACCCTCCAATATTAAAGGTTTATTACTTATCAATGATTATAGGACGGACGGCCTGATTTTTTTAATAATAATAATAATAATAATCAAATGGAACCTCCCTTTTCTAACTTTCCTACAAAAAAAAAAATAATCAAATGGAAAGAGATGAGAGGAAAAGAAGGATCTGGCCCTCCCATTGCCATTAAAAGAAGCCAACACTCTTTTGTTTGGACAAGTAAAATTGAACTTTTGTGAGCTTGGTATTTTCGTCAAGTTTTTTTTTTTTTTTAATTTTTTTATTTTGGCAAAACATATTTTTGGGATTTTCCCTGTTAATTTCTAATGGACCCTGAATTAAGTTATGTCATGCAATCACGCCTTTGAATAGTTTTATTAACTTTTGCATCAATTGTGCTAAAATAACTTTTGCATCATTTAAGTCTTTGAACTACATAATCATTTCACTTAAAGCCAAAGTTAAGGGTAAAATGCATGTGAACTACACAATCATTTCATTTAATCAATGAAATGATTTCATTGATTAAGTTCCAAAGCTAACCTAGGTTTGTTAAGTAATTACTAATTAGCAAACCCTCATGCTTTTAGGTTAAATTTGATCTTAAATAGCATAACATATAGTTTAAAGGCTTAATGAATGCAATGCAAATCTAAAGAGTTGTGGTTTAGTTGGCAAAAGGAATTTGCTCCCTAATTTGTTAACCAAGGTTGGATTTCTTAAGAAAGTCAATGAAAACATAATTTTGTATGAATTCCTTAATTTTAATGTGGATGATATATCTTTGATTGGATTAAAGAAGAATTAATCTTAAAATACATGTAAATTAACCAAGTGCACCTTAACTACTAAGCAAAAAAAAAAAAAAAATGCAATGCAGGTTACACTCATTGACAATGAGGGACTCAATTGACACAGAAGTTAGTTAGAGAACTTGATAGCCATAAGCAATAAAGTTTAGGATTCAATTTAAAGTATGTGGCTTGAATCAATTTCTCTGCGGTTCGCTGCTCTCCAACAGACTCTAGAGAGGGACAAAAGAGAAAAAGGCCCTCCGCACTCCGCAGATGGATTTCACAAAAAGGTGAAAGCCCTAATAAAGAAGAGAAAAATCAAAAGCAGTTGGCTTTCGGTTAGCCAATCTTCATTAACTAGCGGAGACGAAGGCGACGGGCGACACCACCGACCGACCGACCGACCGACCGAACAAGAAGAAGAAGAAGCTGCGGCAAGGGCGTTTCGGTTTTTCGTTACACGACTTCGTTGTCTTCCATGTTCGCCTCCGGAAGCAGTTCCACCGGAATCTACCAATTTGGTGGCGGCGGAGGCAGCGGTTTCTGGTCGGCAGTGTTGCAGCCGCCTTCCAAAGCTGCTTTGGCCTTCACCGCCGTCGCTGGACTCGCCCTCTTCGCTGCTATTTACTACACAACCGCTAGGTAATTCCTTTGGATCGCTGGACTCGACTTCTTCGCTTGAATCTTTTTTTTTTTGTCTAGCACATCTTGCAATTAGAGTCCATTACTCTAAGATGTCAATTTCTTTTGAGTTTTCTATATTTAATGTGAAAAATGTCTAGTTAAAACTTTGTTTCTTGTCTTTTCAGGGTTTTGATTCTTTGTGTTTGTATCTAGTTCATCCTGATGGGATATTTGTGTTATTCTACAAATAGGCTTGCAAAACAATTAAAAACAATGCTGTCAACAAGTAAATGAAACATTAAGATTGGAAAATTTTAAATCAGCATACAAACTCAGAATTTCTTTTTCTTTTCATTTCTTTTTTTTTTTTTTTGTTATTGGGTTGGTAGTTTATAATTCCTGGATTGGAAAAGTTGCTTGGAATGTTAGAAGATTGATTTACAGGATCAATCTTGACTAATTGCTTAAATGCTAAAAATTTAGGATATTAAATGTATGATAATCAGTTCCATGTCCATAGATTTTTGGTCAAAACAGGCACATCTATGGATGTTAAAGAAAAATCATGTTCTGTGAAATGTATCTCTTAGTTTGAGTTTTTAAGAAGCTTAGAAGTAATAAAAACTAAAAAATGGGTCCTTAGCTCTATTAAATGTTTATCATTCTAAGCTGGTGTTTGGTTGTAATAAGAGATGAATCTGCAGTAAGCTTGCCTAGGATGAGAGACAAATTGCCATCTAACTGTTACTGATATGACTGCCTAAATTTTCCCTCTTCCATTTGCTGCAAAATTGAAGATTGGTTTCCTCTTGGAGATTGTTCTTTAATTACTAAAGTTGATTCTCATTTCTCTTCACTGTTGTGGCACTTGCTCCTCTAGGATATCTGCCATGACAAGTTTGAAGTCGTGTTCAACCTTAATCACACAATAATTTTATTCTTGCTTTATTTAATTTGACTTATCATGCTCGCATAATTTTTTGACGAGCAGGCAATGCATAATATTTTTATGCATTTTCTTCTGGATTTTGTTATATTTTCTTCATGTTTTTCTTGTCATATGCTCCTGTACCTATTGTGTTTTCTGTGGCTTGCCAATTTCACTTTTCTTATTTTGATAATCTCTTCTTTTAGTGGTCGGCTGAAATCACCTTGGTCTCGTTGGAGAAGGAAAAGTGCTCTTACTCATCAGCAATGGAGAAGTTTGTTTACACCTGATGGCAGGCTCCATGATGGAGTCAACTTCTTAAAGAAAGTTCGCAGTAGTGTGAGTTGTCGGTTAAGATTGTCAGCTTCTTTGCTTTTTTATTATAATTGAAATGCTTGACCTTGATATCCATGTTGTAGGGTGTTGATCCAAGTATTAGGGAAGAGGTATGGCCATTTCTCCTTGGAGTGTAAGTACTCTGAACCTAGTTTCATAGTTGTTGCTGTTGCTGCTTCTGCTGCTTCTGCAGCTCTCTCTGAAATAAATCATGTAATTCTGATGTTTAACTTTACAGATCCTATATCTCATAGGTCTAATTAGGTGTTTTTCGTTCTCAGCATACTTGGGAAAGGATTTGAATTATGTTCTTATTCTCATTCCCTGAAACATGACGTAATGAATTGGTTTTTAACATCCCTCTAAGGAATGTATGTTTGGTGCATGCATTCTGTAAACGTGTTTTCTACCATCAAATCATAGATTTGTATCTCTAATTGTGAATTCTTTTTTCCTTTCTTCTCAACAGCTATGACCTGAACAGTTCTAAGGAAGAAAGGGAGGTTGTTAGTGCTGAGAAAAAGTAATCTTCTCATGCTTGTTCCGTTCATGTATTACTACTTTTAGCTAGCTATATAAGTCCATTGTGCCATGATTACCTCTAGCTTATTGCTTCATTCATCTTTATGTCAAACAATGGATGCAGAAAGGAATATGAAAAACTTCGCAGACAGTGGAGGAAACTCCAAAAGCAAAGTAATGGAAGTTTTAAGTTAAATGAAACTGGTGGAACTGGCCAAACAGGAGATAGTGGAAGTCTCATTCAGGGGAAAAGAACATGTAGCTCCGAAGATGTAGTTAGTGTCTCTGAAGATGTAGTTAGTGTCAAGGAATCTATTTCAAAAGAGGAAGGGAGCCCAGATGCTGAATTTTCTGATGACCCATCCAGTGAATTATTGGAAGGAGGAGATGGTGGTTCAAGAAGAAATTTGGGCACTGATGTGTCTGCACTAAACAGTGAATCATCTGACTCAGACTCCTCAGAAGACCCTGTAGTGATTCAGGGTTCTCCCTCTTCAGAAACTGGGGAGAAGAATGATTCTGACATGCATAAAAAAGAGAATGTTTCTCCCTCAAGCACAAAAGTACAGTCAAAACTGCCCACAACTGAAGATTTTTCCACTTGGCAGCGGATTATTCGACTTGATGCTGTGCGTGCCAATGCTGAATGGATTCCATATTCTCCATCTCAGGCTGCACTATCTGATGCTGAGGCCCGGCATTTGGCTGAGGCTGTCGGGTTAAAAGATTATGATCACCTGGAGGCTTGTCGGATTTTGCATGCTGCAAGATTAACTGCTATTCTTGAAGCCTACGTGCTTTATGACCCTGAAATTGGGTACTGTCAAGGCATGAGTGATCTACTGTCTCCCATAATTACTATCATTACCGAGGATCATGTGGCTTTCTGGTGTTTTGTTGGCTTTATGAACAAGGCTAGGCATAATTTTAGGCTTGATGAGGTGGGAATCAGAAGACAACTAAATATTGTTTCCAAGATAATCAAATTCAAGGACTGTCACCTTTACAGGCACTTGGAGATGCTGCAGGCGGAGGATTGCTTTTTTGTTTATAGGATGGTGGTTGTGTTGTTCAGGAGGGAATTGTCATTTGAACAGACACTTTGCCTCTGGGAGGTAATGTGGGCAGATCAGGCAGCCATCAGATATGGGATTGGGAAGTCCGCATGGATCAAGATAAGAGCCCCACCAACAGATGATCTGTTGCTGTATGCAATTGCAGCTTCTGTTTTACAGAGGAGGAAATTGATCATAGAGAAGTATAGCAGCATGGATGAGATATTAAGGGAGTGCAATGGTATGGCTGGGCATCTTGATGTATGGAGACTCTTAGATGATGCACATGAGTTGGTGGTCACTCTCCACAACAAGATCAAGACATCCTTCTGACCAAGACCAGTTACTGGAATTAGTCCACCAATCTTTTGTGCTTCAGTTGTTTCTTTAACCTTGGTTCTGATGTGTCTCTCTTTCAAAGCACTGCTTGAAATGCTACCTCTTTTCTGTTAAATTGTCCATTTTGGTGCTCTCAACTGTGAAGGTAACTACTGGAAGTTAAACTCTAATTTATGTCTGCACTGTGATGCACCGCCCTTTGGCATGTGGGATTGAACATCCATTGCTACTTGAGGCCAACTTTACATTTCATTTTATTATTTGCAGCAAGATTTAAAGAGATTGATGAAGCAGTTGCAATCATAAGCTCTTTTCACCTGTTCTTCACCTTGACACCAAAGAAGAGTCCAACCCAATGTTTTGTTTGTTTTAGTCGATCCTGATTCAACATTAGAAGTATATTTGATTTCGCCAATAACCCACCATTGGCACGGGAAGTCTTAAGTAGGTGGTTATTTTATTTTCTAAACCCTTCAAAGTGTTATAGGTAGATTTTATATTTTCATAACTCTTCAAAGTGTAGAAGGTAGACATATTTTTATAACCTTGCAAAGTGTTGACGGTAGATATGTTGGATATAACTGGTAAATTGAGACAAGATTATCCGTTATTATTATTATTGCTTGATAGTCTTCCTTTTTCTTTTTTTTTCTTTTTTTTTTTTCTTTTTTGATAGTTAAAGTATCTCAAGTCACTTTTTAAGTGTACTTCCTAAATAGATTTAATATATTTTAAAAAATTAATTCTTTTAAAATGTTAATTACAAGATGAATTCTAAAACAGTTTTATAAAATGGCACTGGTTGATTTAACTTTTGAGTTTTTTGTTTAAATGCTTTTACATTATAATCATAATTTTGTTTTATTTTTCTTACTTTCCATTTTTTTTTTTTAATTCTTTTTTTGATATTGGGGTGGGGGACTAAATATGCAGTACTTCTGTCTTTTGTATCCGAGCTACAGCTGAGACATTAATCTCCACAAGCAAGAAGCTTGGTTGAAATTAGTTACGATGATGATGTTTTTGTTACAAATTGAAACATGAAAACGATAAAAAAAAAAATTTCATAATTAACTGACAAAGAGCTCAACCGTTCAACTTTTTAAGCAGGAAAAAGATCATCTGGTCATTAAAAATTCCAACAAAATTAAACAGTCTTATTTTCACCAGCATAAACCATGTAAGATGCTGCTTCATGAAACTATTGTCTTTAGTGCACCATGAGAACTTTAGCTTAGTGGTGTATAGCCCTTGGGGGGCAAGTGAGGTAGGAGCATGTACATTGGTGTACTCAATCCTGCCTCCAATTATATATTTATATATATATATATAAAAAAAAAACTATTAAATAGGTGGAACCCTTCTTGTATTTAATTCATAAGCTTCTTCATTATATACTTGAAGTAGGATTTTCTCGCTAAACACACCC